CGCTGCCCGGGAATGGCGGCGCGCGGCCTTACCGCCTCCACGGCGTGCTGCAGGATGGAGGTGAACTTGGAGAACATGGTGTCCCGCGAGCGCAGCAGCCGCTGCCGCGAGGCCCGCGAGAGCTCCTCGAGCCGCCGCCGCCGCTCCAGGGTGAGGGCCGCATGCGGGGCCCGGCGGGCGCTGCCGGCCGCTCCGCTCCGCCCGACACCGTGGCACTGGCGCCGCCGCCCGCCGCCCCCGCCAGGGGCCGCCACCACCGCCGCCGCTCCGCGGCCGGGGAGGAGGCCGGGCCGGGAAGGGGAGGCCGGGAAGGACCGGCCGGGAAGGACCGGCCGGGGCTGCCAAGCGGGAGGGGCGGGAGCGCGGCCCTTATGAGGGGCGGCCCGGGCGGCGGCGGGTATTTAGTGCGGAGGAGGCTCGGGGAGGGCTCCATGTTCTGTGCAGCCCCCTGCAAGGAGGCTGGGGTGAGCTCGGCTCTTCAGGATGGCTGTAGGGAAGGCAGGAGGAGATGGCTTTAAGTTGTGCCGGGAAGATTCAGGTTGGATATTAGGAAAAAATTCTGTATGGAAAGAGGGGTGAAGCTTTGGGACAGGCTTCCTAAAGAAGTAGGGGAGTCCCCACCTTTAGCAGTGCTCCAGAAACACGTGGATGTGGTGCTTGAGGACACAGCTTAGCAGGCAGCGTGCTGAAGGGCTCATGGTTGGACTCCATAGCCCTGAAGGTCATTTCTAACCATAATGATGCTGTGAATTTGTGAGTCTCATTGTGCCAGTTTGCTGTCCCTGACCTTACCCCCTGCAGGCTTGGGGCTTCCCATGGGAGCAGCCTCTGGAAGCAGCGCTGGAGCATGCGGCAGCTCTGCTGAGGTGCTGGAGCCAGCTGCACCCTCCGGAGCCCATGTGTGCCCTGTGGCACAGGTCTAGGGGGTTTTATATATATGTTTATATCTTTATATACACAGACATGTTATTGTTCTAGGGTTCATCAAGTTATATTCTGTATCTCTTAATATATGTGAATTCTCTCTGTGGATAGTAATATTATGAAATATTTGTCCCACCTCTTCATTTAGGTGTTAACTGTATTGGAATGGGGCTGCATTTAATACTTTATTTAGTATTTTATTTAATAGAAGAAGCCTGTATTTAGTATTTTAAGGTTAGAAGTTCCCTTGGACTCTGTCAATATGCTCTAGGAGGCAAAGCCTCTTCTAGATGCATTTATGGAGTATCTACTTTGGATTTGCCATGCACCTAGATGTGTTGTTAACAGTTAAATGTATTTTAGTATAGGAAGCACACTTTGAGATCTAGTTCCATGCTGTTTATATTGCTTGTATTGCAGGTGTAAGCTCTGCTTTCATTAAAAGAAGAAAAACAAATGCCCAGTGTTGGAGGTTTGAACGTAACGTGTTGCCAGCAGTGGGCTGAGCAGTGGTAGGTAGTAGTGTCACATGCACATCCATGGTAGGGTGTGGACTGAATTTCAGTGTGCAGAATTGAGGTTTTTGTCATGCAGGTAGCTTGCTATTAGCATGTCTCAATTTAAAATGCTTTGCAGAAAGGAAAACAATTAAAGTATCACAGTTATATGGTTATCATAAGGCTATTACACATAAATTGAGTTAGTGTGAGTAATTCTACATTTACTTACCAATATATTTAGCCTGATATTGTAGCTATGTTGCAGAAGCCAGTCTATAGTGTATTTTATATTGTAGATATGTGTAGATATGCACTCATAAAGCATTCTTAACTGGGTATCAGAAGATATTTCTCAATGTTGGAAATAGTAGACAAGTATTAGCAGGCCTGTATTTCTATAGCAATATCTTTACAAAAAACGATGAGGAGAAAAATGTTTTCATCAATGTCAAGACAAAAAAGAAATCAACTGAAATTATGTTCTGCTTGGATACTTGATGTCCTCATTAAGATAATTAAATTATGGACAGAGTCCCAGTGTCATATCATGCAGCAATACATTTTTGCCTGCTCATGCTTGATACTGTTTCCCCTGAAATAAATACAGGTGTTGCTACTTGTTTTAGTACTACTAAAACTATAACCCTGCTGTGTTATTTTTATATGCAAGGTAGTTACTGATCTGTGGGATTGGTTTTTGATTTTTTTTTTTTTTTGTGACACATGCAGTACTTTAATATTCCGCTTGAATGTGAGTTGAGACATGGCTTCACAGTCAGGGTACTTAAATTGATAGAGAATGCTTTTGGAAACTAACTTTCCCTCCTTATGAATTAATGAAATTGACTAGAACTTAATCAAATTAAATGGAGTGAGCCAATGAAATAATGTCCTAATTTTTCTATCTGGAAATCTCTGTGCTATGCAGATTGATGGCAGCAGGGCAGTCCTTGATGGATATTATCTGCCAGCATTGCAGAAGAACTTCCTGCAGTCTGGACTTCTGTTTCAGGGAGGTCCAGGATTTGGAAGGTGCGGTATTGTACTCAGGATGAAAATGTACCAGTTAGGTGTGTGCAACATCTGTTGGTATTTCTTGCTGAAATTTATAATGTTTTATAATAACAGGGTTGATGTCTGAAATGTTAGAGGCTCGTCATGAGGTTCTGCTTTGGGAGAGGACTAAAGAAACTTTAAATAATCTTTGAGCCCTGTTGATTCTGAGCTTTATGGTAGAAAGCAAGTGTTCTGTGTATCAGTTACCAAGAAGCACACACTGGGATTGAAGTTCTAACTCTAATTCTACTGGGTTTAATCATCTTATATCATGAATTTTCTGACCTCCCTCCTTGCTGCTTTGCTGGTAGCACCATGTAGACAGCTCATGGTGTATTCCTTTAAATCACATTTTTCAAACATTCTGTGGTCTTAACACCCTTCTCTGCGTTTCACGTGTGCTCTTTGTGTAGAGATACTGATTTGTCTTCTGGTGGGTTACAAGTATCCTAGTCTTTAGTCCATTGCTTAATTACCAGTCATACCCACTGGTTCCTCTTTACTTCAGCACTCAGTGCTGCTGATGAAGACAGAGTACTGGGCTAGATATTCTTGTCCTACAGTATTTTTATATTCATACTTCAGTTATACTGTCTGTACTGCATTGTTTTAGCTTACATAATGGGTACATATCACTGAAATGTGACATTTTTTTAACATGTCATATCCTCAACTTTCTGGTCTTCTTATCAAGCTTTCCTCTAAATAAATGAGATTTGTGTCATATGGTATCTACAAATACTAATATATCATAAATTATTGAAATACTCTCAAATAAGATGCGTGGCACTTAGCCATTTTGAATTAAGTATGCAGCTTAACATGGCCATGGGTTTACTTGTTCTTGTGGTACTGGAAGTTGAAGCAAAGTGACTGAGGATAAACTTGAGGGTTAAACTATATTGCAACAGCAATCACTGAAATAGCTTAATGTAGTGTAAGTATAAATAGAACTAGAATTTGCCCCAAAATAATGGGGGGGGGGGAAGGGAAGAGCATTCCAGCTGCTCTAGGATGGGCTCCTCAGTCATTTGCCTCTGTACATGCAGAGACTGAGGTCTATCAACCAGACTTTGAAGTCTATGTGGATCTGAGGGGAGAGTATTTGCTGTGTGCTTAGTGCTGAGTCTGTCAGATTTCTGAGTGATTTTAAGATCAGCTCCAATTGTATGTATTTGCTTTCCAGTGCATAATAAGATCTCTTTGCTACCTGGATCTTTGGATTTAAGACTGCAATCTATTAATCTCCCAAATGTCATCAGATAATCTGCTAAATGATAAACAAATGCTGGTATGGATAGTCAATAAAATATAAATCATGCAAAACAAATCAGGCTAGTTTCCCGCTATGCGAGTTTCTAAACATCAGCATCTCTCTTTCACTGTTAGCTCACAGTTAAGAGTTTTTGCCTGAGTCTCAGTTCCAAAATCTTTGTTCTGAGGCATAACTGAAATCTTCCATAGTATTTGATACAGACCTTTGGTATTGCAAAAAGTATTAATTCTGATGCAGCTGTCTGAAATGTTTATTATGTGAAGCATTTAGTAGTGGCTTCATAGTTGATATTAAATTATTAATGAAAGTGCAGTTATCTAGAAAGACACCATCCTGACAAAATCTGGGGATGTTCTTTAATAGTTAAGATGTAGTGGTTATCACATCGTTCCTGTAGCTGGGAAAATGGTGAGCGTCTCCTGTGAGCTTATTGCATGGCTTGTGGAGAGAAACTGTTCTCAGCAGCAGAGAGCATTGATCACCTATTTTATCTATATTGCATGCTTCTATATGGCTTGAAGCAATGAGGTTCAAAGGAATCTCATATCTATCCTTGGGGGTGGGAAGAATATGTGAATCCTAAATGAACTGATACTTCAGGCTAATGATACCTTTAGGTTTGAGGCGTGTTGCTTGGCATGTAAAAGCTTTGGGCAGTACCCAGGAGAGCCCCAGCCCCTGAGCACTTCCCTGTCTCTGTTGGTTCTCAGATGTTTCCAGCTACGGGACTGGCTTGAGTTTACTGAGACATTGACTCATCCCTGAGGCCATCACATCCTATGTGATATTTTTATCTTTGAACAATTAAACCCCGATGTAATTAGGGAGAGGCTCAGGTTCAAAGGCAGTCCCTTTTTGGGAACTCTAACCAAATCCTGAGGTGCTTCCTGAGAGGTGCAATTACATCCATCACCATTACACTATTTTACTTATAGGAGAGGATAGAGGGGAGTCACCTGGCTAATTCTAGGTAGAATTTCATGCTCAGAGCTGTGCTCTGAACCAAAGTGCTTTACTTTTGAGAGCAAGTGAGTGTAACTGGGCTGCTTGGCTCTGTTCTTCTGAGCCTTTAGCACCATAGTAAGAAGCATCTGCAGCTGGGGGAGGCCTTAGCAAACCCAGCTAGAGCCTCTACCAGCATCAAGCAAAGAAAATAAAATCCAATGCAGAGCCAGGGTCATTCAGAAATGTTTCTGCTGCTCATCTCTGTTCTTCTGCCTCAAGCTGCTTCGGTCTAGCTTGGCATTCAGCCTGGCTGCTGGGAAATGCTGAAGGCAGCAGATCTATGCTTGCCATGCGCCTAATGTATGTTGGAACCTGGTCCTGATGAGCTCTGAGTGGTGCTGCAATGCACTTGATTCCTGCCTGGCAGCTCATGCGCCAAAGTCAAGTATTTCTGCGTGTGCTTTGGGTTTTGTGGTCAGGAGCTGTTACCCCAGTCTCTGTGTATCTCATGTGGTGTCATCAGGCAGGTGCTCAAAGTTGGTGTGTGTGACTGCTGAGACCAGAGCCATGGACGGGCCAGGTAAGGTCTATGTGCAGTTAACATACTTGATGTTTCTTAATCTTTACCACTGAAATATTTAAGGATGGTATTTTCTTACTGTAAGGGTGATTTTTTTTATTTTTAAATGGAAATTTCTTATCCATGTCTGAATAATTGAAATATAGGAAAGACAGCATTTTTATGCCTCATTAGTGGGGAAAAAAACACTGAGTATTAGTATATTTAAGTTTACATGGGTTTCTACACAGCTGGCATGCATATCCCAATTTAACCTGTTTGTTTTGATATTTATTGTAGAACTTTTCTTCTGTGTTTCCTCTAAGCTCTCCAGCAGCAATAGCCAGGGACGAGAGAACCAAGTGTTACCGACAGCGTTGCATGCACAGTGCACACGGAAACGTTGTGCTTGGAAATCCAGGCCTCCGAGAGCCCCGACCCGTTCCCGGGGCTGGAGGGCTCCTGGCAGCCCGTAGCCTGCAGAGGGCAGCCGCGTCCTTGGCAAAACGGGAGCGTTTTGCTCGAGCAGGTGAGTTCAGCAGCGTGCTGGCAGCTCCAGCTGCGGCTGTGTCAAGAATAAACAACAGAATATGGGGGGAATTAGTGTCAGTCCTAAAACTGAAATGGGTTGACAAGTGGACATCTCCTTCCTCCCTCTCCTCCTAAAAAAAAAAAAAAAAAAAACCTCTTGGCTCAACCTTTTGATATATATTTTGAAAAACCTATTGAAAGAACAAGATTACGCAAGAAAACTCAGCTGGGCCTGAGCTTTAAGTGCCTCAGACAACATTTCAGTTTCTCCATAGGTATCAGGAGCTAAGGGAAGGCATCTGCAGACTATGGGTACCTGACAAGACTAATTTAAGATGATTGTTTTTTTTCTTACCTCCTATCTCTTCAAGAGTCTTTTGCTTTCCATTTAAGCTACTGTTAACAGGACTGTAAATGTGTGCCTCTGGCTGAGGGGCCTATGTCCTTTCTCTGGTTTGTCCTGAGCCCAAACATCACAGATTCCAGGGGATTTTGTTGGACAGTTTATGTCTATGCACAGATGTGTAAAATGGATGCGAGCAGGGTACTAGGGGCTGCTGTTTTGACATAGTGAGACAAGAAACAGGGCACTCTGTTCCTGAAAAAGAGCCAGTACTTTGTGTCTCTCAAATCAAATTGCATCCGGCAGCTGATTAAGGAATAATCTTGATGTGCTCTGAAGGAAGTCCTGTCTGCTTCTATACTTTTCAGCCAGAGGGCCCTACAATATAGTCTTCAGTGTAGAAAGTAAGTATAAAGAAAAAAAATTAAGACAGCACTGGTAAGGTCTGAATTTCAGGAGTCCAGGAAGAAATCTAAGTATTTCTTATGATCAGATATTAATTACTCTGATGCAATTTTGCATTGATTTTACTTAATTGCTTTCTTTGGATCTGAGCTCTGTGTTCCCCATATGTGTGGCTGTTCATAGCCAGAGATAGTTTAGCTATTTTAACTGTTGGTGAATTTTTGTTTCTGATTCCTATAACCTTCTCCATGTATAGGAGCCCTGAAAGATTTTCATTCTCTTTTATTCAAAGTATTCTTTGCTGTTCTCATTACAAAGGATTGTTTATGAAAACTTTGATAGAGGAAATAGTTGCCACAATTTACACAGATAGTATGATGTAAAACATACACTTTATAAAAATGCTAGTGCATTTAACAAACAGTATTGAGAACATTTAATGTATACTTACTAAAATCCTGTCATCTTTTAGAAACATAAAGGGGTGCAACAGTAGAGAAATAATTACTTGGCTTCTTTTTGCTTTAGAGAAGGCTTAGAATATTGGTTTCTAAAAATCAGTCCATATGAATGAGATTCCAAAGGACCCTTGTTTCCTGATTCCCTTAGCTGTCAAAAAACATGGATGCCTGGAAACAGTTTCAGAAGTAAAGCCAAACTTCTCCTGTGGTCTTTTGATTCCAGCAGTTGCAGCCTTTAGAAAGGCTATTGCAAAACACCCCATTAAATTACAGGATGTAGCAATACTGTTGATTTTTTAATATGACTGCTTTAGGCCTGCTTTTCCTAAGGAAGGAGCTGGAGGAGTTGTGCTGGAGGGTATGATGAAAAGTTTTTTGGGAAAACCCTGTAGCTGCTAATATTCTTCAGCATTCCAGCATTAGTTCAATGAAATACGAGTAAGTAGCTTATTCAGGACATCCTTGGGATTTCCTTTACCTACAAAAAAAATATAGTTTATAAGAATTTTCCCTTTATTTAAAAAAAATATCTGCGGTGATAATCTGCTTTTTCAAGGATATGTGTTGTGCAAAGAAAGATATGTGCTGGCTGACCAGTTCTCTGCACCAAACAAAGGTGTGATGTTGATTCCAAACTGCCTTTTCCTCAGCTGGTGCACTAAGTTATTCTCTCTTGGTTTAAGGAAAAGCTAATTTACATGGATCTGATGCAGTCTTAATTGTGTTTAAAGTTAGCATCCTACGCTGGTATTTGACAAACTGGTTCAAAATTGATTAGGGGCAGATAGTGAAATTCATAAACTTCATTTTCCTAGGAATCCATGCTAAAATCAGTCAATTTTTAATTTTTTTTTTTTTTTTTTAGGGCAAAGAGAAGGGCAAGGACTGCAGGGGTTGGTATCAGCAGACCACTGGAAAGCCAAAGCACAAAACTTCATGCATTGCACCAAAAGATGCAGGTCCCATTCTTTGTTCTGAAATAAATTTTCCCTGTGACCTTGGGCAACATACTTGGCACTCTAAGAGTATTTAGGCATCTGAAAAGAGCAACAGGGGATTTGAAAATACCTGTTTGTTGGTAAAATACTTTAATCTGTTTAGGCACCTTTAAAAAAAATCCTTAAGTGCCTATTTTCATCTCAAAGCCCTAATTTCTTTAAAACATTGGCCTGAGTGGAGCTTTTCCCAGTATCTAATTTGAGTTGGGAGCCAGGGCTGTGTTTATAGTCAATAGGAAGGTGTAGGAGGCAGGATCTTGTTCCTCAGCTGGCTAATTGCGAAGCCTCAGGTGGATGCAGGCCATGAGAAAGCATCCACAAGGAGTCCTTGCTGGACTTCAAAGGCAGCGAGGAGACATCTCAGTCAATCGAACAGCTCAACAGGTTGCTCCTGCTCAAAGGAATCCTTTCCATTCCCTTCCGTGGTCACCGGTCTCTCCTGAATGGGCAGTTCCGCACTCCTGTTTCGGCAGCTCGGGTGTTTATCTGGGCCTCTGGTTTCTTTGTCTGTTCTTTAGCCTCCTTAGTTGGCAGAAAGCTGACCCAGTGAAAGGAATATCGAACACTTCCCTGCTCTTGAAGGAACCAAGACAGTTGGCAGGGGTCAGAGCGGTGCTGAAGCTGGTGCAGGAGCGCAGGGCTCAGAAGAGCGCCCAGGGCTCTGGAGCAGCAGCAAAACGTTGGCTTTGCTCATCCGCCCTGCCTTGTAACGTTTCATGTTTAAGTATCTGACCTCATCTCAAAAATGGGGATAATGGTACTAACCCTTCTCTTGGTACCTCCCTTTTCCACCTTCTTTCTCTTCAAATTCCCTAAGTCTTGGCAGGATACAAGGCAGCAAGTGCTGCGGTTGCTTCAGCTCCGTGTGTGCTGAGTGCCTGGCTGGGACTATGGCCAACGAAGACGCACCTTCCAGAAGGGCTACGTGTAAATCACCCCCTGCAGCTTCTCTCCTCAATTTTAGTTTCTTGTCATAGGTAAAAATTTACACAAAACTTGTATGGATGGATGCAATGGTTCTGAGTTCTGTTGCTTAGTCCAATTTGATTGAAATGGTCCAACTGCAAATCCTAAAGTGTCTGGAGAGGACTTGGAGGACAGACAGAAAAATGTAACTGTTAGCCTCAATTTTCTAGGAAAGCAGGCTAGAAAGCACCTAAATGGGTATGGTATTTGGTCCATTTCAGTGTTTCCTGATCAACATGTCTCTTGAACTTCTCTGCCTTATAGACTTGACATAGTGCATGGAATAAATTCTTTGCTGTACTGTGCAAAACCAAATTACAAATGTGTTTTCCCTTCCTACTTCCTAGTAATAGAAAGGAAATTCTTGATTAAATAACTACCTTCTGCATGTTCCATTAATGCCATCTATGAAATGTGACCCAGGAGAGCTCTTGGTAATGTTGGGCAGAAACTTTGTGAAGGAAGTGCACGGGAAATGACTCCATTAAAAATACAGAATGCCGTCACTGCAGTGGCTGAGGAAACCCTTGGCTCTGCTGGTACAAGAAGGAAAACTTGAGTTGTCTGCAAGTGAAAAACTTCATTCACTTCAAAAAGTGGGATGAAGGAAGGAACTGTCTTTCAAAGGGATGTCAGATGAGTAACTAGGGATGATGCCCACAGGAGTTGGGAGAGGAGGAGATTCAGAAATCTTTTCCATGGACAAGAAGGCAGGAAGATGTGGTGAGTGCGGTTGAACCATGGACAGCAATGGGGGACATGGGCAGCAGAGCTGTGCATGGCTGAAGCCATGGCAGCACGTGCTGCGTTTCCAGACTGTGCTGGGAAGGGGCTGCATGTTCCTGTCTGCTGCTCGCAGGGATGTGCTGTGGTGCAAACGGTTACCTGCCTCAGAGCAGGGTTTTGGTAACTTTGTCAACAGAAAAGTCTTGTAGGATTCTTGACTCAGATGCTCTGTTCAGTGAGTGGGGGGGTGGGATTTGGTCTCTCTTGTCACCTGGTTTGTCCACGGGCTCTGTGGTCACCAGGGGACGGTGGTTTCCAGCTCATGGCTCATAGCTGCCCATCCTGAGACTGATGAGTCTGCACAAAGGCTTGAATTAGATATCCTGATGTGGTCTTCTGACCCATCATTCTCGATTAATCGGGTCATTTTGTTTAACTCCTGCCAGCATCTAATAAGCTGGTTGCACAGGGCAGTTCTGGAACCCTTGGGCCCCATTGCACGGGGAGCAGAGCCTCAGCGGGGAGGGGAGCGCTGGGCACCAACCTGCCCCTCGCTGCTTGCCTGGGGCTTCCTGGGGCTCTTGCGGGGAGCCAAGGGCTCTCCTGGGTGCTAATGACAGGGCCGTTCTGTGGCCAAAGCTGCAGTCCTTTCTGTGTCCCTTGACCCTATGGCTATCCATAGGGCTGTGCAGATGTGTGGTTGCTTCCTTGTTATCCGGGGGTGAATTTCAGACTAAGCTGTGGGCTTTGGGGCCACGTGCTGAACCCGGTGAGTTGAAGGAGTGCTGGACAGCGGTGTGGGTGCCTTGCCGCGAGCAGCGGCCCCAGCCCCGCGCTATAGGGGCTCTGTCCGAGCCGCGCGCGCGCCTTCCCCGCCGCGGGCCCGCGTGGCGCACGGGCAGCGCCGGCTCCGCGCGCGCCCGCTCCGCTCCGCACCGGGCCGCGCAGGGCGGGGGCAGCGCGGGGGGCGGCGCGGAGCCGCCCGCCCGCCC